TATGATAAGAAAAAAAGAGGCTGCCGACATTGAGCATGGAAGAGAATTCCATAATATCACTGCATGGGGGGGGGGGGAGCTTTATTTAAATTATCTGTGCAAGCACTAAAGGTCTGAAAGTAAGGAAGTCTTGAAATGCCTTTGTTGGTGGTAGTCTGTGAAACTAAATAGAGGCTTGGGTCTACCGCAACTAAGCTGTGCACAACTTTATATCATATAGAGCATTATTAGTCTACCACGTTTCTTCTGCCTTGTAAACATGGTAAAAATAGCCAATTTAGATGTTGCATCATGTTGGAGACACTAATAGTGTTATGATGTGTGTGTACGATGTAACGTGGACTGTCGTGGCGCAATTGGCAACATGCCACTCGAATATATAGCGAGGTTTAAGGCATGTACGAACGGGAGGAAATTCGGGTTGAAATCCACCCATTATTCAAACATATTTTGATAAGCGATGTTTAGAATTGTACTGACTTGTACAATAATTATTACAGAAATGAAACTGCGCTCGCCCTAATGGTTTCACCGTCGGGCATTCTATGTGTGTGGTGCCCAGACTGAGGAACAGTAGCAGAAGCAATTATCCATTCAACTTCAAGGACGCATAAAATACTGTACATTGTACCTACCGGGTCTTAAAATGTCTGCATCTTTTGTCAAAAACAAATTCCATTCCAAGCTAATGATGACAGCAGTTCCCTTCTTCCTGGCACTCTCTTTCCTTCTGTCCAACAATACAACATGGCAGCCGAATTGTTGAATTTTGGCGGGCTGTTGTTTAAATTAATTGTTCATCGAGCCCGACATCGAGCCCGACGTAATTGTACTATGAGCCGACAGTTCAAGAAAAAATTCTAAGTTATTTTCCACAGCTTTCCAGAGCAGAAAATGTCTAAGTTTCTCATTTTATCAGCTTTTCCATAGATTTCCACAACTTTCCAAGCCTCAAAATGTCTAAGTCCAAATTTGTTATTCAAATTCCAAAAGATTCCAAAAACTTCCAAAAACACTTTTACACTCTTGTATGGAAATGTTTGGAATTCCATGGAATTCCAAAACTTTTCCAAACCCTTTGGAAAATCTACATTAGGGTGCCGAGCATAGGACAAAATTTGCAGCTCTCCACCGGCAAGTGGTGGCATCTCCATATGCATATGAGTGAAAAATTCTCGAGAGGGACATTAAACAACATACAACATACAAACAAAATGTATTGTAGTCTAAGATTTTTGGGTTAATCGTGTGTGTTTAGACAGAAATTCAAAATAATGTTATAGTTTTAGCCGTCAATGCTATCCGTTAGTGTGTTATTGGAGCTTAGATAAATTATCCAATATTTCCTATTAGATAACCTCGCTTTTATGAGTCAGGTTTCGGATAAGCGAATTTATTTTAGTTACAAATGTACCCATTCGTCAATTCCTGATAATTTACGTCCATTCGGATGTATATCTTCACCCTTATAATTAGTCACAAGCTATCAGGTCCATTCGCATATACATGTAGTCTAATATTAAGTTGTTTGCAACATCCTTTCCCGCAGGCAAAATCGATCACTGGCGCCTGACGAATGGTTGGTGTATCCGCCCCCCCCCCCCCTTTCTGACAATTTTTAAAACTCGATAACTTAACAAATTTCCATAAATTTCTAGTTTATCATACCAATACTTCGATATTTGTTATCAGTTTTCGTTTTGGTTAGTTTTAGAGATTGCTCCTTTACGATATTTAAAAATATTAAAATCTTGTAAACATACACGATGCCCCGCTTGGAGGGTGATTTTCAATGTTAATACAGCAAAACCAATAAGCATTCTGAGAGTATTGCATTAGCAATACTAGTCCCCTACCGGCAAGTGTAATCTGGTTCCCGTTAAAATTTGAAAATAATTCCGTCAAAAATCAATGAAGCGGAACAAAATGCAAACTTGATCTATTACTCACCAAGGTAAAGTCACATACCAAAAAATCAGCTCAGTATCTGCAAGCCTTTAGAAAAAAATGCGGAAAACCCTGAAAAATTGAAAAGGTCTAAATTCCGTCAAAAATCATTGAAGCGGAACAAAATGCAAACTTGATCTGTAACTCATCAAGATATACTCACATACCAAAAATCAGCTCAACATTTGCAAGCGTTGGAAAAAAAGTGCGGAAAACCAAGTGGGACAGACTGACAGACAGACTCAGAGGAAGCCTATCGTCCCCTCCAGTTTCACCGGTAGGGGACTAATAAAATTTATGCAAGATGCAGTTCAGGGGGATGTTCTTTTACAAGCCTCTTACGTTTACACCCGGTCAAAATTATTTGTCCTAAATTTCGCGTTTACACTGTATTTACCCATTTTCCGTTCACTGGCAGCCAAACAGGTGGTTTTGATTGTTAAGTTGTGGAAATCATCTAAGGTGTTCCAATTATATGTTCTATCTCTGGAGTTTTCATTACGCTAAACTAAGTAGTACCTGAAGGCCTCCTGTTTGGCTGCAAGTGAAAGGAAAATGGTGTAATAAACCCGAATTTAGGACAAATAATTCATTTTGACTGGGTGTAAATGCAAGAGGCTTGTAAAACAAAATCTCCCTGAACTGCATCTTGCAATTTATTGGTTATGCTGTAATAACGTTGAAAATCTCCCTCAAAGCGGGGCATTGTTACAACGCACTTTGAAAAAAAAAATTCAAAGTGTGTTAATTTTGGGACCAAGTTAATGCACTTTGACAAAAAAATCTTCTGAAAATGCGTTAATATAGACCATATTAACGCACTTGGAAAAAATTAATACTGCTTGGAAAATATGCTTGCAAATTATCGGTATGATAAATAATTACTTGAACGTGGTTGGATAACTTTTCGGTGATGATGTCACTTCAGGATCTGAGACATAGACTTTTAAAGCTTTTTAAGGGTTGTCTTGTTCGCAAAAATTCTCGTAAATATTATAAAAGGGAATTTGAAATTTATTTATTTTTTTTTTTTTAAATTACGGAGAAATGCTTGTTTATAATAACACAATTGGTTCCTTTTTTTGTTCAATCTGTAATAAGTTCAGTAGATGTAGGGGTCGATAAGTGACTTAGAGCATCAATTTTTCTCGAGGAAAAGGGAGCAAAATGGGGTATAAGTTTGTATGCTCATTGAAAATAATTTTCCCGCACAATTTATAGTTATTTAATTAGTATTAAAAGGCATGAAAATTATTTATACAATTTTTTATGCCAATAAAGCCTATCTCAATTTTTCATTTATTTTACGTTCACTTACATTTACTGAAAGTACATCAATGTCATACCAGTTTATTTGGGTAGAAAAGATAAAGAGTTGGGCTGAGGAAGCTTTACCTATCTTCTCCTTGTTCTCGATGCGGGTAACTAGTAATCAATTCATCAGTTTCGAAGGAAATACATGTATAACAAAATAATGCTGTCTATTACTAAAATCTAGTTCTAGAATTTTTGTTTTATACATATTTTTTTTCATTCAAAGTGCGTAAAGTTTCTCCAGGTTAAAAAAATATTGATGTAAACTCTTAACACACTTTGAAAAAAAAAAATTAAAAAAAAAACACCCGAAGTGCGTTGATTTTGTCTAAAGTTTAACGCACTTTGAAAACATCTTCAAAGAGCGTTGATTTTGTCCCAATTTTAATGCACTTTGAAACTTTTTTAAAGTGCGTAGCCACAGGGCACCCTGTGAGTTTACACGATTTTGTTTCTTACCTTTAGTATTTTCATATACCGTAAAGGGGCAACCTCTAAAACTTAACAAAAGGCGTTTACACCAGTCTATGTCGCGGTGGTGTATTCTGTGTGTTTGCGTATTCCGTGAAGACTGCATGCTTGGTCGTACCTAAGCGCAACTGGAGGTTTGCAACACATATTCTTACGCTCATTCAATCGTTTATCCAATAACACATATGTTGTAAATTGAAATTCGTGCATTGACTTTTTAATTGACAAGTAATTGATTGATTGATAACTGAATGATTGCATTTGATTGACAGTTGCATTGGTGACGTTCATGCACTTGTGACCTATCCAGTGCATGATCAGCAATTTCGGTCGTCACATTTGTTGTATTGATTATTGATTGTGGGGCAGCCCTAACAAAAACTACTATAGTTAACTGATTTTACGCTTTGAAATCTCTAAAAAAGTTCCAGAGTAAAGTTTCATAGTAAATTAAAGTATCAAAGTTTTTACTATAGTTAAATGTAGTAAACTATAGTTAACTATTGTTAACTATATTTAATTTTTATTAGGGAGCCCTGTAGTCCCAGAAAGATGATCATCGCGGTCAGAAGCGCCAAATTAAACAAACATAATAAGATCTCTGTTTGGTAGGTAGGTATATTATAGGGAATCTGAAATAATCTCCCGGTATCTTGACCACACAACGGCCTGATTTTGATGTATTACTACAGTAACTACTTAGTCCTCTTCGTGCTAGTTAGCACGTAAGGCCGTCACCATAGATGGTCTGTCTTGTCTGGATCTGTCACCACGTGTAGCTGTTTTCTTTCATTTCTTTCTCCACCGATCATCTACAGGTCTCTTTTGGTTTTCCTCTCTTTCTCTTACCGGTCGGTGTCCACCTCAATGCAACCATTGGGATGGAGGCTGGTTGCATTCTACGTATGTGTCCTATCCACAGCCATTTTCTTTTCATATAGTTTGGGATAGAGGAGTGGTGTTAGTCCTTTTGTACAGCTCTTCATTGGAGATGGTATCAGGCAAAGTGCAAAGGCAACGGGTCTGGAAGGCATGTAGCTTGTTTGAAATGGCTTTTGTTACTTTCCACGATTCAGCACCATACAGGAGAACCCCAAGCATATTACCCTTAAAAATCCTAATTTTGGTATTTATGCTGAAATAATCTAAAATAATATATTATTATTATTTACTATAATACATTGAATCCATGAAATTTAAAGTAGAAAAAACAAGAATCCTCAATATGGATTTCATATTGGAACAGTATCTTTATTTTGGTTGTTTATTTTTTCTACCTCTAAAAGTGTTTGTAACTAGTGAACAGATTTGCTCATTCTATATTAAATTATTTTGTTCATACAAAGTTACCATTTTAATCACTACATGTAATAATCACAAGTATTTCGCAATAATTAATTTTCACGACTGAGAAAAAAATCAAATACTGTCGAGAAACTTGTGGAAAACAAGAATTGTTCATGGTGCATTCGCGAAAAACTAATAAATATGTAATCCAGAATTTTCCAGAATCTTGATTTTAACCCATACATTAGAATGATATATTTATAGTATGTGTTTTCATCTTCCATTAACTTCCGAAAGTGGTATTGTTCTTTGTCTGACTAGCTTCAATTTTCTGTGACCTGGAGACATTTTTCTATCTGCGGAAGTCGATCCATTTTTTTGCCTCTCGTGCAGGCTTTCTCCATTACAAACTTGACTAGGCTCGCTTGTTTTAAGGCAAAGTTCCTGCATTTGTAGAAAGCTACTTTCCAAAGTGAAAGCAAAGTGGTCAGAATTTGTATCATGATGCCTTCTGAAGGATGTCACACACACAAGTATCCAGTTGGGATGTGGATTGTAGCAGACCCCATACCCGTCATGTACAACTGGGCCATAGCACATGAAAGCGTCCATAGTGGTCGGAACCTATGTAGAAAAGACTTATTTATCATTAAAAAACTTGACACTTATTTTTTTTTCAGAAACGTGAATTTAATTATGTTGACACAGCTTACCTGACTTGTGGATAAGGAAAAGTGATTTGAGGTTTTATAGCTCTCATGTGCAAATATTTCTGGCATTGGTAATCCATGTTCATTGGCAATTTCTCTTAATCCCATTAGGTGACAGTCCATCCCGTGACCTAAAATAGTCTTCATACATCGAAATATAATGGTGAGTTAAAGAATGTCAATTACAAAGTCGGAACAATGATGAGTATGTTATCATTTCTTACTTGTGTCATAATGTCTGTTTGACACTGCATTGCCTTTCGAAGAAGCACAATCTTTTCTATATCCTGTTAAAGAGAAACCAAAGTAATTTAGTGCATGAGGAATAGTTACGTCCTTTATATAATTCCCCTATCGGTGAAACGGGAGTGAAGTATATGTTTCCTCATCGTCTGTCCACGTATAGGAGCATGTCTCGTATAATTGAGTTTTATCTTCGTAGTCGATATATATTTCCATGACATGTATTCTGGAAATATTATGCCCATTCACTTTATTCCGAAAATGTTCAGTTTGGTTTAACAAGTAGATACATCTGCATCTTTCATTCTACAATCTTTCTTCACATGGTAAGGTCATGAAAATTTAAGCTCCGAATAATTTCAGCAATTTTAACTTTTAAGTTAAACTACAATTTAAATTTTAAAATTCAAACAATTTTACGTGTTTTTAAGGATATTTTATTTGAGGGTGCTTATGTAATGTCTACGATTTTGACGAATTGAATTTTAAAGTGTCACATCTGACATTGTGACACCATAACATTTACACTAAATGAAAACTTAACTTTAAAGTATGAAACAAACATTTTTATTGTCATTTAAAGAATTATTTCTTAATTTTATATGAGAAAATGCCGAAAGTAAAGTCCAAGCGAAAAACAGCTTCACAGAATGTTGACAAGAAGGTGGATAGACCCAAACGATCCAAACGAACAGGAGGCCCAGCAGCTGGCAACTCTGCAGAGGATCCCCCAATTTCCCAGGAAAACTGTTTTTAAGGCACCAATCTTATCACAGGAGAACCAAACAATTACGGTTGCAGACCCGGTGCCAAATGTCCAACCCAGAGCAGAGATGCACAAAGTTCACAAGGTACACAAAATCAGATCTCTGATTTACCATTTAACACCAGTACTTTGCCATCTGAATGTATTCAACCAGTTTTGCTAAACACTACACAACTTTCACTTGGCTATTAAGCAAAAAAAAAAGTTAATGGGGAATATATCAATTTAGGCTCAGTTTTAGTACGAGACCCCACAAAACCCAGTCATCTACTTTATCTTTGGATGCTCAGGGCCACCTTGTAGCACAGCCCAAGCAAACACAACAAAGTAAATAGCAAGCTTCCACATATTACAAATGTAATGACTATAATTACAGAGCCGTTTGTCAGCGAATATAATGTCAATACTTGCATCGCTGCTTAAAATGCAACAACTTGCACCCTGCCATATATTGCGTCAGTGCACAGCCCACAGCTAATCAATATTTTGTTAATGCTCAGCGGCCATTTCGTGCAAACATGCCAACTCAAAATGCCAACCAATCCTTCTTTCAGCTCTTTGCTCACAGGCAATCCAAACCTCAATCTATAGGTCTATGGGATCTGGGCGCTTCCCCAATAAGGGTCAAATTCTATCACCAACCATTTGAGTAAGTATCCTGATAGTCATAGGCACAGGCACCCTGATAGGTCATCGGCACAGGCACTCGTTGAGGGTTTAACTAGGGGTTTCAAGCTTTAATATTCGGGGCCACGGCTCCTAGTTTTCACCAAAAATTTGATATCGGCACGCGAACATCCCCAGATTCTGCAGGAAAAAATTGACAAAGAGGTTAAAGACGGCCGCATGGCGGGTCCTTTTAATAACCATCTCATGCACAATCTGCACATTTCCCCCGTAGGTATCATTCCCAAAGCTGATGGCGGTTAGCGCATGATTATGCACCTTTCTTACCCAATTAGTCCATTAGTGTTATCCACAACATAGATCCTATTTATACAACGGTGACATACACCTCTTTTGAGAGTGTTATTGAAACAATAAGTCAAGTGGGTAAAGGGGCAATCATTGCAAAGTGTGATATAAAAAGTGCTCTCCGTCTTATCAGGGTCTATCCAGGTGATTTCGAATTTCTAAGTTTTTACTTAAATGGTAATCATTATATTGACAAATGTTTGCTATTTGGTTGTGCTATTTCCTGGAAAATATTTGAGATGTTCGCGGCTTTTTTAGTATGGCTTGTAAGGGACAGTACAAACTTGCAAACTCTGCACCATTATTTGGATGACTTTATTTTTATAGGCAATCCTAACACAAACCAGTGTCATTACCTATGTGCACATTTTAGGAATTATGTCGGGACGTGGGCGTCCCACAAAACAATGATAAAACAGTACAACCAACAACCTGTTTAATATTTCTTGGCCTTGAAATTAAGGTCAGGATCTAGTTAATGAAAGGTGCCTTCAGATTTCTCAAATTTGAGAAACAAGTTCTTTCACTGATCCTTTACAAATATAGCTTGGTGAAATTAGGTGTACCGCGACATAAGTTTTAGGTAAACTCAACGAAAAAAGATACTTTAAACTGACATTTTCAATGAAAAATGAAGGAAATCAAGTATCAATATGGGAGTTTTTTCCATCTTAGAAAAAGGAAATGTATCAATATTGCCTACAGTCTCTCAAAAACAGTTTTTCATATCTTCTTGATATCTTCTTTAAAATGATATTAAATTCAATATAGGTATTCGGGTTACTTTTGACATGATTTCAAATTGAATGCCATGAAAATGCTTCATTTTTCTACATAATTCTGTTATAGCGGTAAAGTACGGGAAAAATCAAGTTTAAATCAATTATGATGTCATAATGGCAAAAACCAAAAAGACAGTCTAAACTCATTTACTAGATCTTGACCTTAATACTGTTATGATGCAAATAGAAATTCCTCAGAATAAGGTTAGGGAACTCACATATTTGTTATTGCACTGGGTGTCAAAGGAAAAAATGTTGTCAGACCTTCAGACAATGGTAGGGAAACTACATTTCTTTAGCAAAGCTATACCGGGGAGTACGGCATTTAATCGGCGTTTCTATAATGCCATGTTAAATTTACAAAACACCTACCATCATATCAGAATAAATCACTCCATGAGGGAAGACATGGATACCTGGCTACGTTTCTTATAAAATTTCAATGGGGTTGTTTACTTCCCAGATAGGCAGTGGACTACCACTGACACCCTTCAATTATTTACTTATAGTGTGGGATCAGCAGGTTTGAGCTGTGGATGTTATTTTCATGGTCAGTGGATCTATTTACAATGACCACACTCCTGGGCTGATACTCAGATTCTACGAGATATCACTTTTCTAGAACTAGTACCAATTGTTTTCCCTTTGCACATTTGGGGTGAGACATTGCAGAAGAAAAAAATCATATTTTTTGTTGATAACATTGCATTGGTTCACATATTGAACAGTCTTCAAAGTCTGATAGGGTAATGTCATTTCTTAGACCACTAATACTTGTTGCAACGCATAACAATATACAGTTTAAGGCCCAGCACATATCAGGCATTGATAATAAAATTGCGGATGCAATATCCCGCACACAGTGGGAATTTTTTCAGGAGGCTAGCACCCAACGCAGACAAGGACCCACAAGCCATACCGGGAACATTCCAGATATTGTTATCGCAGACGAAGTGGAACGACTTCTTGCAGCATCTATGTCAGTGAACACACAAAATGCATATAGGGCAGGTATCCAAGCCTTCGAACAGTTCCGTGAATCACAAGGCTTGACCTTATCATGACCACCTATAGATGCACATTTAAACATGTTTATTGCTCATCTCTCATTGAAAGGATTCAATCATGCTACTGCTAAGTCTTACATTTCGGCAATTAGTTTTTACTGTAAACTGTATTTCAACTTGAACCCTACAAAAGCGTTTCTTGTTCAAAAATTGTTGCAAGGTATGAAAAGATCAAATTCAGAAATGACTCTAGGCTTCCAATTACCCTGGATATTTTAAATATCATTTTACCAAAAATACAGCTAGTTTGCAACAATATATATGAAGCTTTTCTCTGTAAGGCAGCATTCATCCTTGCATTTTATGCACTGCTCAGAGTTGGGGAACTTACTCTCTCTAAGGGTAATACACCAGATAGGATACTGCAAATTGGGGATGTGACCTTGTCTAATGATCAAATTACACTACGCATCAGACATTCAAAAACTGATCAACTCGGGTGGGGGACATCAGTGGTTATTAAGGCATCACCAGGCCTAACATGCCCGGTCGCTGCTTTGAGTAACTTTCTGGGAGTACGTCCAAATTTTTCTGGACCTCTATTTTGTCATTTTTCATGTGCAACACTTACTCGTTACCAATTTAGTTCAGTTCTCAACAAATTTCTTAAGATTTGCAAAATTGATTATACAAATTTCAAATCGCACTCGTTTCGCATAGGCACAGCAACTACGTTAGCAAGGCAAGGGACAGACAAACAGCTTATTCAAATGGCGGGTCGTTGGAAATCAAATGCTTATAATTCTTATATTCGCTAAGACCTTTGTTAAGTTTTATTTGCATGTGCTAACGCATGCTAAGTTTTTCTAGGTCAACACGAAAGCTGGATTGTTGGATTATCTATTGTTAAAAGGGCAGGATTAGCAGCCAGGGAGCGAACAGGGGGTGCAACCTTAATATACCCAATACAAATATTTGGTGGCAAGGATATGGAAGTATCATCCTTAGTCAATTGTTGTCTAAGCTTAAACTCTTAAGACGACTAGAAAACAACCCCAACATTATTATAGTTCATTGTGGAGAAAATAGCTTGGGCCTGGTACAGTTGAAATCATTCTTAGTTCAACTTCAGTTAGCCATACATATAACTAATATCTGCAAACTTTTTTGTACGGACTAAAATTGTATGGTCATGTCTTTTGCCAACTTGAAGGTTTGTTTGGCGGTATACACTAAAAGTCAAAGCAATGGAAAAGGCACGGGCAGATTGGGAAGCAATTAGGTTTATTTCATACAGGGGCGGTGCGTTCATTAGACATCCACAATTTGAAGGGAAACCAGTTCAGTTGTTTCATGCATATGGGGTGCATTTGTCACAGGTAGGCAATGACCTGTTCTTGGACAATTTGCAGGGTGCGATTGAGCGTTTTGTTACGTTGTAGGGCTCCATTACAAATGCCATAAAAAGTTTTTAGCTTTGGTCTGCGGTGAACATTTGTGTTGAGGTTCTGCCA